TTGGGTACAAGATCGATTACATGTGTTATAATATTTATCCTTTCTCAAGGACAGTTGGAAGTATACTGTTAATATTGGAAGGACCATATTGACATGGTCTGAAAACAAGCAACTCTTGTTCAGAAGTGGTAGTCAAAATGGGAATATAGAGTTGTCTTCATAGGTGGAAGCAATCTGTGTAAGGTTAAAGAAACTTAATGCAAGAAGCATGTTCAAAGCAATGCGCTTTGAATCTAAGACATCGTTTCCATGGAATTGCTCTCCATTGGGATACTCTGTAATGATTATTGCCAAGCCTTTGTGGCTTTGTGCATAATCATTACAAGAGGAACAGTGCATGTAAGTTTAAAATCTAAACATATTTCGATAAATGATAGGAATTTGGAATTCTTATATGTAAGACAAGGATTTGGGAGTGTGAAAAGCGAATCATTGAAATTATGTTCAATTGATCTAAGTTCACAAAGAAAAGGATCATAGTCAAACATAGAGTTCATACTTGGTGCATGGCAAAGTTATTGTTTAGAAAACATAGTGTACATGCTTGGAGCATGGGACACCTAGTGTTTTAATTCAAGTATAAAGTTGATAAAACCGAAACAATGAATAATGAGTAATCAGTATGGTGATAAATAGAAAGTGTTTTATTTAAATTCATAGGTTTTGATACCATATTAGATTCATTTATTCTTGTGTTTCACTTTGCATGCTTTGACTTCCATAATAACTAGGTTATTCTTCCGGAATGACTAAGTTATTCAAACCATTAACAGTCGGTCACATGTTGAAAGTAGATATGAATCAAGACTGTCATGGGTTGGCTTGTAGAGGTCCAAGTTGGTGGACAAAGTTGTGCTACAACACTCATGAGTACTCATAAGTTCTGAGTGTTGGATTCAAGCCACGCTCATTTGAATCACTTCATGGATTTTATCACGAGTGATCATGAGACGATAATGTCTTATATTCTTCAAACCTAGAGATATGAGTTGTTACTATGAGTTGGTTGTACATTGATTGCACGAAAACGCATTCGGTAACTCGATGTTATAAAACGTGCTTTTGTGTATGATTCAACAAGTAGTAGAACAAGCCATATGAGTCGAAGTTTATCCATTCCTTTTACCTTCGGGATAAAAGTGATATATGTGGGCCCCTCGATGATTTAATGATGACACATGTGAGTGCTTGGCCAAGCCAAGACTGATTTGATTTGTTCAATCAGTCAGTCATCATAAATCGAAAATTGGGAAACAACAAATGGACAGAAAGAATGATTGATAATCCATGTATCAGTCCATATGATATCTAGAATGGAGCAATATGTGATCCCTTATCTAATGGACAAGTCATTGACAAAAGTCAGAGTTCGTTGACAAGGTCAGAGTTCGACAACGGCTTTAAGAGCTACAATTTCCAGTTAGGTTTTGAAGTCATACTCAATAATAGTTTTAGAATATTTATCCAAGTGGGAGATTGTTGGATTAATGTCTAAGTCCATAACTATATTTGGTATGTACTTGACCCGAATCGGCATGGTCCATTTGGGTTACACTTCACCGACACAATTTATATGGTTAGTCTTTTGAGAATAGTGTATTTATGATTTATATTAATATATTATAAGTTCTAATATATTAATATGGAATCATATTATTTAATTAGTATTGATCAAGAATTAATTAAGTGATCAAAAGGAACTAATGAAATATGGACTCTTATATATATATATATATATATATATATATATATATATATATATATATATATATATGGAATGAGCCAAGTTCATTTAGGTTGGGCTAAGTTATCATGGATAGTCCATGGAGCTTTAACCCATGGATCCTAGGAAATGAAAGGTCATGGGTATTAGGGTTTAACCCTAATCCTCCACACTATAGAAAGGATCTTATAGTTCATGAAATGGTGTTAGTGGCTAGTGTGGATACACTAAAGAGGGCAATAACCGATTTCATAAGTGTGAGCCAAGTATCCATATTCTCAAAAGGTTTTCCAAGGTGTTTTGGTGATTTGTGATTCCACTTGAGGCTTCCAAACTATTGGGGCTAAGCTGTTAAAGTTTGAAGACATCAAGCTACATCAAAAGGTATGTCATCTAACTAGAACTTTGTAGTATAGGTGCTTCATAATATGTTAGTTAGGATGAAACCTTGAAATATTTAATATTTGCATGTATAATAGAGAAAACATAGATCCAAGGTTTATAGGGTTGCATGTACACCATAGGAGTGTTAGAATGCTCAAAACCTATCATGTTTTACGGTCTATCCTTCTCTATTGGATTTCATAGTAGTCGTTCTGACACTTCTTTTTTCATCGTAGCTCTGAAGCTATCTACCTTCTTATGTATGTCAATGACATCATTCTTACCATGTCAGATATGTCCTTAATATCTCTTGTTATATCTCAGATGTCCTCTAAATTTTCCATGACAGATCTTGGTCATATCTTTCTTCCTCAACATTACTACTACTGGGACTATGCAAGGTCTATTCCTCTCACAAGTTGCGTTTGTAAAAGAAATTCTTGATCGTGCAGATATGTCTTCCTGTAATCTATGTAGCACTCCCACGGACACTAAACCCAATCTTTCCGGTGTTGGAAAGTCGGTTACTGACCCCACTTCGAAGCCTGGTACTCTTCAATATATGACTTTCACTCGTCGAAATATTGACTATGTAGTTCAGCAAATATGTCTTTATATGTATGACCCTCATCAACCTCATTTCTTTTCACTTAAGTGCATTATTTGATATCTTCAGAGTACTATGTCTCACAGTCTTCAAATTTGTCCGTCTCATGTTGATCATTTAATTGCTTATTTCGATGTTGATTTGACTGGTTGCCTTCAAACTCGTCACTCTACTTCTATGTTTTGTGTCTATCTTGGGGATAACCTTATATCTTGGTCCTCTAAGCATCAACACATTGTGTCTCGGTCTAGTACTGAAGTAGAATAGAGGGGGTAGCTAATGCTTCAAAATCTCCTTCTTGATTTGTCATGTCCGTTATCTCATATTGTTGTCTTCTGTGACAATTTAGTGTCATGTACTTGGCTTCTAACCTAGTTAAGCACCAACGAACCAAACATGTAGAAATAGATTTACATTGTGTTAGGTAACACATTGTCATTGGTCAAGTGTGTGTGTATGTTACGTTTTCCATATGCTCATCAATTTGTTGATATATTTACAAAAAGACTTCCTACATAGTTATTTTTAGATTTTTGAAACAAGTTAAGAAATAGAAACTGATTGGGGGGGGGGGGGGGGGGTTAGTTTATGATTTATTTGTATCTCATGTATAGTGTAGGGTCCTTATTGTAAATACTATATACATATTTGTACTATTTATAGAGATGGAATACACTAAAACCCTAATGGGTATTTTCACTATCAAATACCCAATATTTGTTGCGTTGAGCCTAAGTCTTTCATATCAAAGAACTTGGAAAAATCTTTCTTAAAGTTGTTGATCATGGTTTCATCTTGGCCCACTACTAGCATATCATCTACATATAGAAAAAGGTTGACAAATTTATCATCTGAAAAACTTCTTTAGGTATATACAATGGTCTGCAACAATTCTTTTGTACATGTGACTTACCATTAACAAGTCAAACTTCTCGTATCACTGCCTTGGCGCTTACTTAAGACCATAAAGTCTTTTCTTTAATCTGTAGACGAGATGTTCTTTCTTTGGCACCTTAAAACCATCTGGATGCTCCTTATATATTTCTTCATCCAAATCACCTTGGAGAAAGGTTGTTTTCACATCCATTTGCTCAAGTTCAAGATCTAAACTGGAAACCATTCCGAGTACGACTTAAATAGACATCGTCTTCACAATCGGAGAAATTTTTTTTTATCAAAGTTAACCCAATCAGCAAATTCCAAGATGTTGTAATTTTCAGGTTGTCAGAAAATTCCAAGAAGTTGTAATTTTCTTTTGTCAAAGGAGGACACCTAGAATGGAGGTTGGAACTCAACAAAAGTTAGCCCAATCGGCAAAATAGTCATCACTTATCCACATGGCATTTGCAAAATAATGATGTCATCTGAAAAACGGTGATGTAGCAACCAAAACGACATCATTTTGAATAGGCTCGATCCTTAGGGAGTTCACTTGATGAAATGGAACATAGCCAAATTTTGAAACGGTAACTTGAATGGTCGACTCATGTGATTAGCCGATTACCATGGTTATGAATAAATTAGCAACAATGTCAATCTCAAACCTTCATGAGTTCGCAAAAATCAGAAATAAATATGCCTTATTTAACCATATTTCACTCTCAAATTTCGTACTTTCAATCTTTCCTTCATGTAATTCTTTTTCTCCACTATACCACCAAGAATATATATATAAGATTTCATTTTCTGAGTCTTTAGTTTCATCTTTGCAACGTTAGGGTTTGAAAATGTAAGATTTTAATAAGATTTCTGCACTTTTGCAATGTTTCAATCACGGTTTGAAAATTTCATACTTTGCAATGTTCTTCAATCTTTCTCGGTGTTTGAAAATTATGAGTTGTTATTGCAGATTTCCAATTTCACATTAACTTTTAGGGCCTAAATTTACTAAATCGTAAAGAGCCTCTAAATGACAAAGTCACACTATCATTTTAAGAAAAAATTATATATAGATAAATCCTACGTAAAAAACAGACTGCATCTGCGTTTTTTTTTCTTTCACCATTTTTCATATTGCTGTCATTATTTTGGCATTGCAAATTGATGGCCATTTTTTTGGTTGAGCTACTTTTTTATTATTTCTTGAAAAAATATATTATGGGAGTAGAGACATATTTGTCCTTTTTTTTTCTATTTAATATAGGCTATTAATATTATTATACGAACAATAAAATGGCAAGTGTGGAGTTGGTGATGCTCACCATTGATATGATCAAAGCAGAGATTAAAAGTGATAGAGCATCTCAATTGAATGAACCATAAACCAAGTGAAGGTCGTATACTAACCTTCTTGCGAACGGAAGTTGATCGGCAGATGTTTCACTTTCACCATTAATCACAACCATTCTCTTTCTCGATGTGAATCTTCAACAAAAACAGGGGGAATTAGTATGGGATTTGAATTAGAATAACATGAATATGATAGACGATTAGGAAGTTGATCAATGGGTTTCGCAACTTGGAATCAATCGCATTAAAAAGGAAAATGCTACAAAATGATACTAGCTTTTTTTTTTCTTGGAGGCTAAGAAATAAAGCTATTTATGTAGTTTCTTTGAAGCTTCCTACTTGTCCCACACTAAAAGCAGAGATTCCCTTTTTATATGAGTATAGTATTTCAAAAAAATATTTACCGATTTAGTTTGGAAATTAATTACTAAAAGATAGTAAATCTTATTTTGTTTTTTTAATTTTATTACTTTATAATGTTTAGTTTCCTTTTAAACTTTATAACCACCGTCATGATAGCCACCGGCCACCTCACTTTTTCATGACACCGCCATTTCTTCCAAGCGACACAACAAGTAAAACCAAACAAACTTAAGAATACTTATAATTCATTTCTATATTTAACTCCAAACAATGATACCACTGGTAATCACGTGAATAGCTAATCGTTTTCCTATGGCATAGGTGAAGGTAAAAAAATTTTAAGATAAGATTTGGAAATAAAATACACACTATGAAACAACTATGTATTGATATAGAAAATTTATCTCAATTTCTGATTTCTTTCTCAAAATTCATGCATCACGACAAAAGGAGATATGGCTCCACAAGAAAGTTTGAAAACGAAAAGTGGAAAAATTAGTCGAATGGTGGTGGGTACCTATCTTTTCTAATCCATGTGGAGTAAGACATTCTTCATGGAGACCACTAAAATCACAATATTTCATATTCTTTTTAAATTGTCAAAACAAATCCTTGTCATCAATAATTCTTGAACCCATATCAAGTTTTGAGTTTTGAGTGTGTGCGGACAAGTGAACGTTAACTTGTTTAACGATCAAACTACCTTAAGAACATCAATTTCTAACTCTCAAAAGGCTATTTTGGTCAAATAATGGCCACTTTTACATAAATTTATAGTTTAAAGTTTATAAACATAAATTTACAGTTTAAAGTTTATTATAAGCATGTGACATAGCTTCACACCCAGGCAAGAATACCTTGACAAAATTAACCTTAGTTTATATATTATAATAAGCTCTCTTCAAACCAGGGGAGAATTCCTTTTGACAAAACTGCCCTTAGATGCTTTATTTTGAGAGCAACCATCATTTCAATATTATTTCTTCAAATAATGTCCTCCATTAGTGTAATTTCTTGGAGTAATGTCATCCATTAGTTTGATTTATTGAAATAATGTCCTCCATTAGGTTAGCTAGCAGCCTTTTGCTAGTGTAAAGTGGCTCTCTAGGCATCAAAGTGATAGTAGCTTCCCACTTTCCAAGTGCTTCACGGTATTTTACACCTTCGATATTAGAAATAAGAACAAATTAAGAAAATATACAACATAAAGAGGAAGTGAAGATTCAAAGGCAAACCCATAAATGATTAACTGGACATCAGCAGCATAGTTCCAGCAACAATAGTTATTCGATTCAGAAGTTGTTCGGATTACCAATCTATAGAATTTAGGTCTATTACAAATTTCTAATTTCTCCAAGAAGAAAAACACATTTCAAAACAAAATAAAGAAATGAAAGAAGGGTTAGGGAAACTACAAGAATATCATTGAGGTGTGTTTTGTAACTCCAATTCCATGTCTTGAATTTGAAATTTGGAGAAAAAATTAGTCTGGAATTTGAACAAACAGTTCCTTAATTCCAAACCCCCGAACAAAAATAGCAGCATAAATATGAGCTTTTTCCTTCATGCTAGCAGACCATCACACACTTGCAAGGTGTTTGAATATATATATATATATATATATATATATATATATATATATATATATATATATATATATATATATATATATATATCATGTTTTAAAACGTTTACCTTTAAAATATTGATTTTAGCCTACAAATCTTTTAGCAGACTTGTTAAGCTTCATGACTTCATCTATCAAGTGTTGGGGAAATTCGAAATTTGGTTATAGGAAATCTGGATCACAAACAGTAATCGTGTGATACACTTTCTTTGTTTGATATTTCGACCCTAATTGTCTTGGGTATCACGAAATCCAAACTAGGATAATTCCTGAAGAAACGATTCTGATTTTAGGCATAAAACACATAATCAATTTTGAGAGAGAATGAAGAAGAAAGCGTCCTTTCAGTTTTTTGTGTTTCAACGAAGTCATACAATTTCCCGGACTTATCCACACAACGGATAAAACGAGAACAATTTTCAACTTTCAGAAAATACGAATTAATCCTTGAATTTGCATCTTTAAAGAACGACAAATTAATCACGTGAATAGCTAATTGTTTTCCTATTAACCCCAACTTGACACAGTATATCAGGGTTCAGTACTAACAATGTTTAGTAAATACAAGTGTGCACTCTCACACCTCCTAACTTGTATTATAACTAAAACACTATTCTTGAAACACTTGTTAAATCCATTACACTAAAATATATTTGGTGATTAAATCACAAACATCAAGTGAGTCAAAAAACCTTATTTTCAACACCAAGATGCACTCACCAAAATCCAAAGATTGCATGTTTAAAAAGACTTGCTGACATTTTGCAAGAACAGACTAATCATGTATTCATCATTAGAGGCACAAGTTCCAACCAAGTTACTAATAGAGTAAAAGAAAAATGATTCAATTCAATCAAACAAAAGTAAGAAAAAACTTATAGTGCTGCCAAAACTATATGTATTTGCATCATAGATGCCTAGTTAATATCATTTTGAAGCTTCATTGCGACAATAAGAAAGAAGGTCATGGGCAAAGAACCATATGTAATCGGACGCCATCATGTCAATTTCAACAATAGATGCATTGGTGAAGCTGAATCAAATAAAATCCCTAGATATGGGTAGATATATGGGATGTAGCTTAAATACAGGGGAAGTATTAGAAACAGTAGGAAAGAAACGAATCATGAAGGTTTATTTACACATTTAATAGAATTTGATAGGATGAATACTTTACCTACATAATAGAGGTAAAAGTATTGAGGAAATGACAATTGGAAAAAAAATAATTTTGATTTATTAGGATTAGAAGTTCATATTGAAACATTAACTTTAATTACAGTTAAAATACCTTAACTAAATTAACCAGCGTTTTTTTTTTCGTTGGGTTTTTTAGATGACTGATGTCTTAATTAAGTATGGTTAAGAAAATCTATATTATAATACATTCATTGTGTTTAGATTCTTAATCATTTTGATCAATTGGTGAGTTTTGTTTATGAGTTTTGTGTTATCAATATATTTTAGTTTAGTTAGTATTATCATCTTAGATAGTCTTAATTCAATTTTCCAAGATTGGAGGTGCATGGTGCACATTCCATTAGTACAAAAATGACATATGGTCACACTTTCTAAAAAACAGTCTGTCACACTTTTTATTAAAAGTGTGGCCAAAGGTCATTAAAAAAATTTACAAAGTGTTTTTGGATACATTTAAATTAGTTTGTGTGGCTATTGTATAGATAATCAAAACTTTAACCACACTTAATTATACTAAATGTGACAAATATTAATCACACTCGAACATTGAGGCCATAGGTCACAATCAGTCACACATATCGATTAAGATTGTCATACCTTTTTATAAGAGACAATAGATAAACGTATTGTGACATGAGGCAGTTGTATATGTGTCTATAACCTGGTGTCTTTTTAGACACATAACATTCAAAGTAGCTAAAATGTGATACATATGGTCACACTAAATATTTGTGTGTCCATAGAGCGGTTTTGTACTAGTTGTAATTAGTTAACGAAAGAAAAGAGAACAAGTTAGTATTGGTTGTTTATGGTCATGTGCCTTTTATTATGTGTGGCAAAATATGATGAATTGGCTTTGAGAAGAAACAAATAGTATGAGTGTAGGTAGCATTTAGTTATTATGATAACTATTATATGTGTCTATATGTAAAGATAGTTATAAACGGGCAATATTGTCTTATCGGTATAATTAGGGGTCGTTTATTGAATATGTTACTATAATTATGTAATGTTCATTCTGGTTGTACTATTGTATTTGTAAGTTTAAAGAATAGTCTTCATAAAATGAAAATTTGTTGTTGTAAAACTGAAATTGTTTCTTGATTAACTTATTATTCCAAAAAATGACAATTTTAGACATTTTGGACGACTGGTAAAATTGACCATTTTTTTCTTTGATATCACTTGGTAGAATTAAAAATGAACAAAAAAGTCAATCATGCCATTTTACAAAAGTACATTGTTTTATTTGCATTTAAAGGGATGTATAAATAAATGAAAGAAATTGAATGGTAGTTTTGTAAAGTTACCTTAACAGAAACAATTTGTGAAAAAAAACAGAAAAAAATTAAAATGAATATAAAAACAAAAACAAATAACAATATAATTGTATTGAATGGTGGAGTTTTGGTAACAGCCATAATAAAGGTCCAAATTGCCCTTTTTGTCATGTATTCTTTTAAATGCACCAGATCATACACCATTAAAAATGAAAAAAAATACAACTTTCTTTAACAAAAAAGTATGATAAATAAATGAAAAGAATACAACTTTATCTAACATTGCATAACGAAAGTACATTGCTATAATATGCAGTTTATGTTATAAAATGTCATTCACCATTACAGTAAAAAAGTGAAAAAACTAATTTTGTGTTATAACAATATTACAACAGAAAAGTTTGATGGTATAATATGGTAAAAAGAGATTAACAAAAGTACATCGTCATTTTTTTCATTTGAGTAAAAATTAAGTGTGTTATAACAGTATCAAACATGAATTGGCAGTAATGTGTGCTTGAAATAGTACAATTAAAAGAATAGAAACATTTACTAAATTGTTATAAGTACATATATCTAATAAAATGCAACTTGGCCAAGATCTCATTTGTAATAACAATAACTGGAAGCTTTGCAACCACTTCTTTACTTGCTGGTGGTGCTCTCGTTGTTGAATCCCCTTCTGGAAACTATATATAAACATCAATAAAAATTACTATTATGCCCCTCCCTTGGACCAGACACAACATGAGAGTCGTATACTATGTTTGTCATGCATTGGACTAGGACTAAGACCGATATCAACCAGACAAAATTTGTAACTTTTTGTCCCACTGAAAAAGATGGAACAAGGTGAGACAGGGACTCGCTCCCGATATCTCATCTATTGGGCATAAGCTCTTGAAGTCTATTAATGAGCTCTCATGGGAGATTGGTGGGCCCATCTGACGTGTTGTTTTCAGATGTTTCAGCTTGAGACATTGTAGCAGTAAGGGCATTCATCATATTTGATTGAACCAACCACTGAGGTTGTAGAGGCTCTTGGTCCACGGTTAGATGTTCTTCAAACAAATACCCTGCAATAAATGACCGTTTACCCTTTCTTAGAAGTGACCAATCTATATACAATTTATCAAGAACCAGTTAACTCTGCAAGTCTTCAGATGTGGCTTTTCAAAAGATTTAGACACTAGAAAGAGCCCTAATCCAGCATTCCAAAATCCGGGTGAGGTGTATCTTGTCTTTAATATGGTTGCAACATGAGATATGACTGTGAAAAACTGTGGCATCCATAACATTTTTATAAGTAATAGATCAAAAGTTATGAAAGATGCATTTTTTCAATTAAAGGCCTAAAGTTCTTAAACCTTTGCCTAAGGGTAACTTGATCATCAACCCTTGATTACAACTAAAGTAAATTGAAGGTTCATGTAGTGATCATT